TCAGAGTTAATTCACTATGATCAAGTCTGCTTCATTCCTAGAATGCAAGGTTGGTTCAACATACACAAGTCAATATATGTGATTCATCACATAAACAGAATTTAAAACAAAAACTATATGATCATATGAATAGACATGAAAAAAAAACCTTTCCATAAAATTCAACATCCCTTCATAGTAAAGACCCTCAAGAAATGAAGGATAGAAGGAATACACCTCAAAATAATAAGACTCATCTATGACAAACAAATCGCTGGAAGCATTCCCCTTGAAACTGGAACAAGACACGGATGCCCACTCTTATCACTCCTATTCAACATAGTACTGGAAGTCCTAGCCAGAGCAGCCAGTTCAGAGAAATAAATAAAAGACATCCAAATAGAAAAAGAAGTCAAAATATCTCTCTTTACTGATCATATGATTGTATAGTCAGAGAACCCTTAAAGACTCTGCCAAAAGCCTCCTGGAATTGATAAAATAACTTCAGTAAAGTTCCAGGATACAAAATCAATGTACAAAATGTAGTAGCATTTCTACACACTAGTAACATTCAAGCTGAGAGCCAAATCAAAAACACAATCTCATTTACAATAGATACACACACAGACACACACACACACACGCACACACACACACGCACACACACACACAAATACCTAAGAATACATCTAACCAAAAAGGTAAAAGATCTCTACAAGAAGAACTACAAAAACACTGCTGAAAAAAATTACAGATGACACAAACAAATGGGAAAACATTCCTTGCTCATGGATTGGAAGAATCAACATAGGAGTTGAACAATGAGAACACATGGACACAGGGAGGGGAACATCACACACCGGGGCCTGTTGTGGGGTGCAGGGCTAGGGGAGGGATAGCATTAGGAGAAATACCTAATGTAGATGACGGGTTGATGGGTGCAGCAAACCACCATGGCACGTGTATACCTATGTAACAAACCTGCGCGTTCTGCACATGTATCCCAGAACTTAAAGTATAATAAAAAAAAATGACCATACAGCTATAGACTCTATTCCCATCAAACTACCAATGTCATTTTTCCCAGAGCTAGAAAAAAACTATTCTAAAATCCATATAGAACCGAAAAAAAGCCCAAGTAGCAAAAGCAATCCTAAACAAAAGGAACAAATCCAGAGGAATCAATTACCCTACTTCAAACTACGCTGTAAGCCTATAGTAACCAAAACAGCATGGTACTGGTACAAAAACAGTCACATAGACCAATGGAACAGAATAGCAAACCCATAAAAAGCCACACACCTATAGCCATCTGATTTTTGACAAAGTCAACAAAAATAAGCAATGGGGAAAGGGCTCCCTATTCAATAAATGGTGCTGGGATAGCTGGCTAGCCATATGCAGAAGAATGAAACTGGACCCCTACCTTTCACCATATACAAAAATTAACCCAAGATCAATTAAAGATTTAAATGTAAGACCTCAAACTATAGGAGGAAAACCTAGAAAACATTATTCTGGACCTGGGCCTTAGGAAAGAATTTATGACTAAGTCTTCAAAAGCAATTGCAAAAAAAGCAAAAATTGGCAAATGAGACCCAATTAAACTAAAGATCTTCTGCATAGCAAAAAACAAAACAAAACAAAACAAAAAAACAAAAACAAAAACAAAAACAAACTATCAATAGAATAAAAGACAACCTACAGATTGGGAGATAATATTCCCAAACTACGTGACTGACAAAGGTCTAATATCCAGAATCTATAAGGGAATTAAACAATCAAACAAGCAAAAAATAAATAACCCCATTAAAAAATGGGTAAAAGATATGAACAGATACTCCTCAAAAGAAGACATACAAGTGGCCGACTAACACACGAAAAAAAATGCTCAACATCACTAATCATCAGATAAATGAAATCAGAAACACAATGAGATACCATCTCACATTAATCAGAATAGCTATTATTTAAACAAACAAACAAACAAACAAACAAAAAAACAGATGCTGGCGAGGCCGCAGAGAAAAGGGAACATTTATATACTGTTGATGGGAATGTAAATTAGTCTAGCCACTGTGGAAAGCAGTTTGGAGATTTCTCAAAGCACTTTAAAACAGAACTACCTTTCAACTCAGCAATCCCATTACTGGGTATATATACTCAAATAAAATAAATTGTTATACCTACCAAACAGACACATGCACTCATATGTTCACTGCAGCACTATTCACAATAGCAAAGACATGGAATCAACCTAAGTGCCCATCAACAGTAGACTGGATAAAGAAAATGGGGGTACACACACACCATGGAATACTATGTAGCCATTAAAAAAATGTCCTTTGCAGCAACGTGGATGCAGTTGGATGCCATTTTCCTAAGCAAATTAATGCAGGAATAGGAAACCAAATACCAGATGTTCTCACTTATAAATGGGAGCTAAACATTGGGTACTAATGGACATAAAGAAGGCAACAATAGACACTGGGGACTAGTAGACGTGGTAGGTAGCAAAGGGGACAAGGGTTGAAAACCTGTTGAGTACTATGAGCTGTACCTCAGTGATGGGACAAATCATACGTCATATCTCAGCATCACACAATAGATCCATGTAACAAACCTACACATGTACCCTCTGAATCTAAAATCAAAGTTGAAATTATATTTAAAAAGGAATACACTGAAAAAAAAAGAAAGAAAAGCTCTCAAAAGAGCTGAGATTCAGAAATTCAGAGAGCAGCACAGTTCTATTGTATTATTGCACTGGAGGCACTTATTTCCACCATCTCTCATGACATTTTCTGGCATCTGTGCTAAATGTAGGGGAAATATCCTTTCTATGATTACTCTGTAGAGTTTTATCGCTATTCCCCTCCTCAATAACCTTCTGCAAACTAAGCCCTCTAAATTAGATTCTTAAAATTCAGAAAAGTGCACAGAAGGCACACCTAAAACACGGAACCTACCACTCTAGAAAAAAACATTTTGTATACATTTATTTAGGAATGTGGAAAGGCACGGATATTCACAAAACTAATGCTAGAAATTCTCATCCAAAGAACCGAGATAACTGATCATCTTTAGACAACGGTGTTCAATTGTCCTTTTGTCACAGTGAGGGTTTGAACAGGTATGAACTGGCTCCTGCTCACCTTTCTAGCATTACCTATAATCACTTCCAAACTATCTGCTGAGAACTACATCTGATGACTTGGTGCTTTCTTGTCATCACATCTGCTGCCCCTCTTTCTCCTCCACTGAGCTGACCCAGACTCCAACCTGACACCAGTGCCTCTCCTCTGGTCCCTAATGTGGCCCTAGCAGGACACTGTCATAATACTCATTTCATGGGATACTCATTTCACATGAGCTCCTTCCATACCTGTCTTCTCTGTGAGGCTCCCAGCATCTTAAGGTGGGGGCTTCACTTCTGTATTCATGGTACCTACATTAATGCATGACATGTAATCAGTGCTAAATTAATATCTCCTGAATAACTGTCAGACTGTACGTACTAGCTACTTGGCACATTCACTTGAATGCTTCCACTACCAGACCAAAAAGTCCTATTCCTCTTTCAGGCTTTCCTGTTTTAGTAAACACACCTCTGCCCACGCAGACACTCGATCTAGAAACTTGGGGGGCACACAGAGCCTCCCCTCTCACTCACCCCTAACAGCTAGCCCTTCTGATTCCACCTCCCAGTCTCTGGGCACTTCCGTGTCTCTGCTGTCATCTTCTGCTTGGGTGTCTACAATGTAGTCCTAAATGGTTTCCCTGCTTCTACTTTTGTCTTCCCCCAGTACATTCTCCACACAGCCACCAGACCAATCTCTTAAAGTGTAGAGAGGGTCAACCATTCCCTCATCCAGAGTCCCTACATGGTTCCCCGTAACATAGAGAATAACATATAGTCCCTGACGCTGGCGGGGAGATCTCACATTACTGGGCTTCCTGCTGCCTCATGTCAAGTTGCTGCGAGTGCTGGTCAGCCCTAGTCACTTGAGTCCTCCCAGATGCCAGGAATGCTCTGAGATGCTGCCTGACTCATGCATTTAGCAGTTATCAGTTCCTGCACTGGGGACTTTCTTCCTCCTGGTCTCCTCTCGAGGCCTTCCTTGACCATCCCATTGAACGTGGCACCTCCTCACCCTCATCCTCTGCAGTGACTTTGGGTTTCAGAACCCTATTTACTTCCTTCATAGCACTTGCTCCAAGCTATAATAAGTTTGTTTGCTTGTTTACTTGTTTACTTTAGGTGTCTCTCACTGGGGGTAAGCTTCATCGGGATAAGACTCTTTCATGTCATGTGTCCATTGTATCTCTAGTATTAAAACACTGCCTGATACAGAGGAGATGTTCAGAAAACAACGCAGGAGAAGGCAACAGGTACATCATTTATACCACTTTCTGAATCCCGCATAACTCCAGCTCCTGATTCACAGGAAAACTGGGGTTATACTTTCAAGATTCAGGCAGACTCAATAACCACAAAGCAATGAGGATTCATGAAGTGCCTTCTACATGATCTCATTCAAACCACACAGTAACATTATAAGGCACCCATTCTCATTATTATTATTTTGCAGATAGGAGAGAAAAGCTCTAAGACTTTAAATGATTTGCACACAGCAGATCCCAACACCTGTGGCCCACAGAAAAAGGTCAGGCTGACTCTGTTTGGAGCCCCGATGTTCCCCACAACCTCCTGTGGCTTCTGAGCTTTTCCCAATGGAAAAAAGCGTTGGGATATTTATTCCCAAATCAATATCCTGATTTGCTAATAAACCAATGTCATGGTTTGCTAATCCACAAGTTTACATGCCATTCTATGTTTTATGTTTTTATTCCTTCAGATGACTGTAGTTTATTTATATCAAGGTAGTGGTGGCAAGCTCCCTTTCAGTAGGAAGACATTACGTTTTTCCTGTTTAACAGTGACTTCTTCCTAAAGTTTTGCTTGATAATTAACTCAAGCAACCAACTGACAACAGTTTCCGCAATGAAGAAATTCTTACCTCGGAATTCCAGTCCTCGAAGTTGAAAGGTGACAAGACCATTTCCAATTTCAATCAGGTGAACAAAGGCATTGAGGTCATCTGAAGCCAAAATAAAGCAATCGCCAGAGCTGTAGTTGCCCCAACGACCAAGAACTAAGTCTCCACAGAGGGACTCCTGGAGGGTCCTTGTCAAGTGTTCATAAAAAATGGAATTGAGATTGTTGTCATCATTCCCTAAAGGTAGACAAGAAATATGATCAGTGAATGCCTACTTCTTGCTGTGTACCCAGACCTAGGAAACAGTGAGCTGTCATCTGATTAAGGGCAAAATCAGACTCTTTATATACATAAAAGAGGAAAGATCTGTTCTTCCCACATTTCAGTGGATTATATGGGACCCTCCTATTTTTTTCCCTTTATATTCTCTCTGTATAATTTACAGGCAATAAGCAGCATCATTTTATATATATGTGCTATAATATATAACACAAACAATCATTGCTAGTATTTGTTATATACAAATATATATTTTACATATTATATAACATATAAGTTGTTATACTATATATAAATGGATACCATTTGTTCTTAAATTATATATACATTAAAAATTCAGGTTTATTGAAGAATAATTTATGTAGGGTAAAATTCACCCATTTTAGTGTATGAGTCTTGAAAAATGCATATAGTCATATAGCCTGCTCTTAGAATAATGCATTCATCTGCTGTATATATGAGTGTGTTCTGTTTCACCTTTGAGTAGTATCCCTCTGTATGCATGTGCTACAGTTTGTTTATCCATTCATCTGCTGAAGGACACTTGGGTTGTTTCCAGTTTTGGTGATTATGGGTAAAATCACTACCAAGAGTCATGAACAGGAGTTTGTGTGAATATGACTCTCCCCGTTTCTCTTGAGTAAATGCTTAGGAGCAGGACTGTTGTTCTCCAAAGCGGCTGTAACCTTTTTGCATTTCCCCAGCAGTGATTGACAGCTCTAATTCTGCATCCTTGCCAGGACTTGGAATTGTCCATTGTTGCTTGTTTGTTTAACTTTGGCCATTTTAATTGGGTGGATAATGACATCCAAGGAAGGGTGAAGGAGGAAGCTGCAAAGGAGATGGAATGATGGAATACCTTGCTTCCCAGTGGAAAGCCAGGGGTGCATGTTGAGTAAGGGTGAAATTAGGAGTGCGTAGTACATTTCCTATATCCTCCCTGCTGAGCTCTGACTCTTTTCCCTCCTTTCAAGGGATCTCTCAAGATGAGGGATATAAGATTTTTTAAAGAGCAGATTGGATAACATGGGAAGTCTTCCTGGTCTGTGGTCCTGTGGGTGGAGTAAGCATTGGGAGAAGCCTAGGAAAAATGTTCACATTCATGACTTTTATTTTAGGAGTAGCTTTTCTTTAGGAGAGGAAATTATGGCTCTGGAAAGCCATAGGCATAGTTGTCCCAAAGAGGAAATGCCTAAAGCAAAACTCAACATTCCTTTCTGGATTGTCTATTTGAGTGGAGATGGAGATTCGGGGAGGACAGGGATGAAGACTGCAGATCTAACCGGAGCATCTCTGCTTTGTATCCAAGGGAACCGGGGCACAATCAGGGTGTGGAAGGCAGGGAGTGGTACAAGGAGGTGAATACGCCCCAAGTGTACTTATACGAGGAAGATCACCAATCCACCTCTAAGAAATCTACAGAATAACACTATCAAATTGTGAATATCTTTGCTGGCCACTCATGACAGTTGAAAGCTGAATCAATAACCTAATTATGATTAATGGAAAGAAACTGTTCTGTGGGCTGAGTCATGCCATGTAGTCTAATAAAGTATCAGTATGCTTAATCTTCTGTGCAGACGAAGCCTCCTTGACCTGCACTGTATTCATTTTCTCTGATGAAGCAGCATGCATTCTGAGACACTAATTAAAGATTGCTTTCAGTCTCTGGCACTTTGAAAGGAAAGGCCTGGATGAGAGAATTAGCCTTTGCTTAATTGTTCAAACTGTTCAATGTTTAAATAAAACAAAACAATTAAAATCACTAAAAGTAGAGATTCAACTCAGGGCATCTTCTTAAAACACATTGACCACACATCTGCATAATTAGATTAAAATGAGACAGCAATTACGATTCACTAACAGCACAATGTGCTTGGGAAACTGTCCCTCTGCCTCATATCAATAGGCTTGGAACATCACAGTCCCACGGCTGCACCTCAGAAATACCAGTACCTCTCCTCCCTCATTGTACTGACATGAAGTTCAACAAAAAATAAGCCTCTCTCTCCAGGTATCTCAAATTTCAAATTCTGATTTCGAATTAATCATGTATATGCAATTCAAATGCGGATAATGAGCATGATATAATTGTTCCTAGGCAGATTTGGGGGCACAAAGAAGGGAGTGAGGAGGATAAAAATAGAGCACAGTTAAAATTTGCATTCTAATATGAGGAAGGAAGAAACAGAATGGTTAAAAAAGGAGATTGATTATGGAAAGAAAAAAGTAAAATAATCTTCTAGCAGGTAAATCCTTCCATAGCTTAATGCTGACCAAAGTTTTTGAAAGCTTCTAGATCCTGGATCGTGGAATGGTTTGCCTTCAAGGACATTATCATGCTGATGTTTTTCCAAAGAACTTTTTTTTCCTAAAAGACGAATCTCAAGGTTTATAGTCTGTGTTTGAGGTTTACTACACACAAACTAAAATGTCTTGATTAACAGAGTTATCCAATACTGAGCAAGGTCCTAATCAATTCTAAACAGTGGAGCAATACACTGTCAGACCAAATCAGGATGCTTGATCAGTCTACCTCCACAGTTTCATTCCACAGTCAGCATATTAACTAAGATGTGCATTGTCTCCACAATGAGTACAGAGTGAGTATTTAATTCTTCCTTTTGAAAATCCATCCATATAGCAATAAATAGTTTAAAAAGAGAGAAGAGATCTTCTTACCTGGATCTCTTTCAATTTGGACTGCCAGTCTTGTGTTGGAATTATCCACACGCCTTGTACTAGAAGAGGCCACAAAAGGGTAGAAGGTCATGATTAGATCCCCCCAAGCGGAAGAGTTGGTTTACAGAACCAGCTGCATGAGTGGAAAATGCAAATGCGACAGAGCTCACAGGTTAAGACGATTGCTGTAGTTTTACCACACTGCAGGAAGAGAGGAGTCTCATGACAAGAAAGAGAGAGAACAGTACAAGAAACACATGGAGGGGAGAGATGAGTAGCTCTCCGATTTGGAGAGAATGGCCTTGTGTCTTAATCAATTTGGAGCCCCAGATCTGCAAAATCAAAGCAAGTATTTAGGCCGAACATGGTGGCTCATGCCTGTAATCCCAACACTTTGGGAGGCTGAGGCAGGCAGATCATTTGAAGCCAGGAGCTTGGTACCAGCCTGGCAAACAGTGCAAAACCCCACCTCTACTAAAAATACAAAAAAGATTAGCCAGGTGTGGTGGCACACTCCTATAATCTCAGCTAGTTGGGAGGCTGAGGGAGGAGAATCGCTTGAACCCAGGAGGCCAAGGTCACAGTGAGCCGAGATTGTACCACTGCACTCCAGCCTGGATGACAGAGTGAGAATCTGCCTTAAAAAAAAAAAAAAAAAAAAAAAAAAGCAAGTGTTTAACCTGCCAATACAATGCCACCCTCTTTCAGAACTTGAGAACAGTGTCCAAATAGGTATCTTTCTCTTTAAATTGATTTCAGGAAACGGTGGTGAGTAGTCAACATCTCCACCACCTGCTTTCAGGAGCTGGGTATACTCTTATAGACCTTTCTTAGGTTGAACCATGAGAATGAAAGCTCTCAGATCATCTGCAGCCATGGTAACAAGTGGCCACTAGAACCAGCTTTGAACCTATTCCATCATGGAAACACTCCTCAGTGCGCAGCTTTTGTAAGGCAGCCAGTCCATGACAATCCTGGCTTCTGAGAGTTAGCTGACTCACTGCAGACTTCTGAGGGGCAACTGATGAACAACAGGCTTTTCAAGTAACCTCCTATACAGATGCTGTCAACCCGCGTATGCCTCCAAAACCTCACTAGTCCTTGAACTCCACACATCCCCAAAACCCTTTGTAAGTGCACCGATCTGCTCTGCTTGGAGAGGCTATGCCAGCCTACCTTTGTCCTTTTATTTCCAATACTGAGTGGTGGTCTTTAAAGAATGAAACATGAAATTGACATCAAGCCTATGAAATTGATGGCAGCCAACTGTTTATTATCACCTGCAAAATGGCAATTTCATATGGTTAAATCTGATATATTAGCCATTAAGAAAGGACTTCCACAAATACATCAGTATCACACATAGGGTTTACTTGAAGATCTGGGCATAATGAAGGTCCCACTGACAATTGTAGAAAGCCTTGTCTTGAACACATCCGGCTCCTACTTTTTCTTTTTCTCTTCTTTTTTGAGACGGAGCCTCGCTGTGTCTCCAGGCTTGAGCGCAGTGGTGCAATCTCGGCTCGCTGCAACCTCCGCCTCCTGGGTTCAAGCGATTCTCCTGCCTCAGCCTCCCGAGCAGCTGGGATTACAGACACGCGCCACACATCCAGCTAATTTTTGTATTTTTAGTAGAGGTGGGGTTTTACCATGTTGGCCAGGATGGTCTCGGTCCGCCTTGGCCTCCCAAAGTGCTGGGATAACAGTTGTGAGCCACCGCGCCTGGCCAGTTCCTGCCTTTTCTGTCACTCCGCTCTTTGCTTTCTTTGTTCCAACCCTGTTGGTTTTCCTTTTCCACCCCTTCAACATGCCCAGACCTCTTGGTCCTGTTGCTCTTTCCTCTCCAGTAGCCTTTGCAAATGTTCCCTCTATTTAGGGATCCCTTTCCATTCCCACTCATTTTTCCTCATTGATTCCTCTTATCCTTCAAGTCTCAGCTCAAGTTTCACCTTCTCAGGGAAGCTGCCTTGACTCCTGTGCTGCGTGAGATTCCTTTGTCGTGTTCTCTTTCACGCATTGTACCTGTACCTCTCTTTTGGAGCACCTGTCAAGGCTAACGTCAATCATAACGATGACAGCTAATATTTATGTAGCACTTGCTTGTATCATGTGCCTGTTCTAAGTACTTTATATGTATTAGCTTATTATTGCCTCAAAACTACCCTCTGAGGTAGTTTTATGCCCATTCTCACAGTGGATGAGGCAGAGGCACAGAGAAATTAAGTAGAGTGTTCAAGGTCACAGATCTAACAGGTGGTACAGCCAGAATATGACCTAGGGAGGCTGGCTCAGGAGCCTTTACTTTACACCACATCATACATCTCTTTGTGTAATTATCTGATTATATCTGACTCTTACATCAGTCCCTAAGTACCATGAGAGTAAGTTTGTTGCTCACAACTGGCACATAGTAGTCACTCAATAAATATTTGCAGAATAAATTATTGAATGGTCAAAAATAAGGCTACTTCTGAAGTTTTTGTCCCTATAATATTTGCTAAGAAGAAAGACTAGCTGCCAGTCAACGCTGCATATGTGGCTTATGTTTAAACATGATCATTGACATACTCTGTATAATTTAACAAATGACAAGCACTTGTCAGAAATGGTGCTTAAGAAGAAACCTAAGAATGCAGCCTTCTTTTCTGAACTTGTCTTTTGGGAATCAAAACAGATAAAAAGATATTTGGTTGGAACTATAATTTGAATAAATGAAAAGGCTTGTCTTCAGAAAAAAAAAAGTATTCTTTCTTTTCCTGTATGTCTTAGACATTTGAGAACCATCTAGGCAAGATCCTGTTGCGTTCTGTGATGCTACGGACGGGCTGGAAAGAAGAAACACCGTGTTACATTTCAGAAAGGCTGTGAACCCCAGCATGCTGTTCTATCACAGCTTCAGTTTTCCTCACAAATACTCCCACAGCAGCTTTGAAAAATAAAAGATCTCAGGGTAGCAGAAAATAGAGCAAACAACAAAATTCTTTCTAATGAAGGCTGAAATCCCATGTCTGCAGAGTTAGTCCCTAAATGGAATTTTAATTTCACCTTAAGACCTACCACAAATGGAATTCTCAAGCAGCAGAATAAACAATTTTTAAAGGAGGATTAAGACACAAGAAAGTCATTTGCTAAACTCCTTAGGGAACTAAAACATCTTCTAAAACTATGTTCACTGGAAAGCTATCTTTTCAGAAGCCTGTAGAACACAGTCTAAATTCTGATGAGCAATAACTAAGCTAAGCTGCCTGTGTACCCCTAGGACCTCTGGCTCTCCACATATTCTCTAAGAGGGTGGACTGTCAGCCACGCTGGGTAATTTGAGTTTTCTCCAGTGCTTTCCTTCTGTAAATTTGGTGCTTACCCCTCAAAGGTGCTAATTAGCTCAGTAATTGGATTTCTGCCTTAACTGTCCAATCAAATGAACATCAGCTCTGTAGCTCAAAGAGGAAACAGGGCTTATAGCTCACTTCCCAATCTCAGTGGGAACATGCAATCCTGGTACACATTAGGCATGTGTCTGCATGCATGCTCTTCCTAGCATTTGCCTGACAAAGTCACTGTGCATTGCTGGGCAATGGTGTCCTGAGCACTACAGAACAAGAGCGGTGTAACAGGACTCTCCAGAGAAGTTGACTTACTGAGAAATACCCCTCTTTTATGTTAATATAAAATGCAGAGAGCAGAGCTGTCTTCTTCCCTTCAAACTTGGCCTTCCCACCCCCTGGTCAGTCTCTCTAGGTCAAGTACCTTCTGTCTCAGTTTCATCTGAGCAACTTAAGTAATTTAAAAGTAATTTTCTTTATTGACAATGCTTCAAATTCCCCTTTGTCAGTACACACAGTCTATGGTAAAAGTTGTCTCATTTTTTTGGTGAGGAAATGTTGCTGGCCAGAGTGAGAAGTTTGGTGGGGGTCTGTTCATATAGCAAATCCAAGATGGAGCTAAAAATAGACTGTGATTCTATTCATAGGCAGGGCAACCTTAAAGAAATCTGGACAATGAGAAGGCAGCCAGAGTTTAAATACAGGGGCACTGTTTCCTTTAAAATTGATTATATGCACAAGGTACACCTGGGTTTGTTTTTCCACCTTTCATTGCTGCTGCCACTAACAATCGTATTAGCTCTTGCAAAGCCAGTGGCACTCTGCTGTCGCCATGCAACATCAGAATGATTTGGCATGAGACACTTCCTGAGGACATACTGCCGTACACCCGTCAGGGTGGGCACTGCCTGGGGCCAGGCCCTTCAGGTGACCTCCAGTCTTACTAGGCCTGAGTTTTGACTTTTCATACATTTGCCCTACAAGACCACAAAGCATAGCTCAGTTTGGCTGTTTCTTTTTTCAGGTTTGGCAAATGATCTTGAATAAAAATGGCTATGAGCGTTGGGTGCTTTCCTTCTACTGGATTTTGATCTGAATTTTCAGTACTTTGAAGATTTTGAGCAACCAACAACTTTGAGTTTTAAGAAAGTTTTGTTGGTTCTTTTCTTTATATTTCTTTTTTGTTGTTGTTGTTTTGTTTTTGTTTGTTTTTTGAGACAGTCTTACTCTGTCGCCCAGGCGGGAGTGCAGTGGCGCAATCTTGGCTCACTGCAACCTCCGCCTCCTGGGTTCAAGTGATTCCCCTGCCTCAGCCTCCCGAGTAGCTGGGATCACAGGCATGCACCACCACTCCCACCTAATTTCTGTATTTTTAGTAGGGACATGGTTTCACCATGTTGGCCAGGCTGGTCTCGAACTCCTGACTTCAGGTGATCCACCCACCTCGGCCTCCCAAAGTGCTGGGATTATAGGCATGAGCCACTGTGCCTGGCCCTTTTCTTCATATCTTACCCAGTTTTCTTTAGTTGCCCTCACTAGGGACAATTGGTTATAAATACCCAGCATGTCATTACTAGAAATTGAACTACTATTGTAGTTTGTAAGAATTATGAAAGCTCCTTTTTAATTGTCTAATACATAATCAGTGTTTCTTCATATTCCATGGGCACCTGAAAAGGTTTTTTTTCTTTTTCTATATGTATGTGTGTTTGTGCATGTGTGTATACATGCATGTG